TTTTTCCCATTGCATGGTACTGGCATCCTTGCATAAATCATTTGATCATTATATATGACGGTTTATTTCTGGGCCTTCTATTCTGTGCCATTGGTCTGTATATTTGCCATCATGCCAGTACCACGCTGTTTCGATTATTGTAGCTTTGTAAATGTTTTTGAAATTAGAAAGTATGAGACCTCCGAATCTGTTCTTTGTTTTCAAGATTGCTTTGACTATTTGGAGTTCTAGAGATTACATACGATTTTTAGGATGGTTTTTCTGTTTCTGCAAAAAATGCCATCAGGATTTTAATAGAGATTGCATTGGGTAGCCTGGGAATTCTGGCAGTGTTAAGTCCTCCAATCCATGAACATGACTGCCAGTTCATGTGTTTGTATCTTTAATTTTTTCAGCAATGTTTTGTAGTTTTCAGTTTGGTTAAGTTTATTCCTAAGTATTTCATTCTTTTTGAAGCTATTATAAGTGGGATTGTTTTTTAGATATCCTTTCTGGATTATGATTGTTTGGGTATAGAAACTCATCAATTTTTGTATGTTGATTTTATATCCTAGAACTTAGATTAATATGGTTATTAAATCTAACAAGCCTCTTTTTTCTTTTTTCTTTTTCTTTTTGGCAAAATCTTTAGGGTTTTCTACATGTAACATTATGTCTTCTGCAAACAGATAATTGTATTTCTTTCTTTCTTTTTGAATGCCTTTTATTTCTTTCCCAATTACTCTGCCTAGGACTTCCAGTAATGCTGAATGGAAGTGACAGTGGCCTTGCCTTGTTTCTGATCTTATAGGAAAATCTTTCAGCATTTCACCAGTGGGCATAGTGTTAGCTATAGGCTCTTCATATATAGCCCTCATTATGTTGAGATAGTTTCCTTCTATTCCTAGTTTGTTGAGTGTTTTTATCATGAAAAGGTGTTGAATTTTGTCAAATGCTTTTTCTAAATTACTTGAAATAGTCATGTAGTTTTTGTCCTTCATTTTGTCAGTATGCTGTATTGCATTGAATGATTTGCATGTTGAATTATCATTGTGTTCCAGGAATAAGTTCCACTTGGTTATGCTGCGTAGTCCTTTTAATGTGCTGAATTTGGTTTGCAATTATTTTGTTGAAGATTTTCACATCAATATTAATCAGGAATATTGGTCCGTAGTTTTCTTTTCCTATAGTATCTTTGTCTGATTTTGCTATCAAGGTAATGCTGGCTTCACAAAATGAATTAGGAAGTATTTTCATTTCACTTTTTTCAAAGAGTTTGAGGAAAAGTTTGGTGTTAATTTTTCTTTGACTGTTTGGTAGAATTGTCCATTGAGGCTTTCTGGCTCTGGGCTTTTTTCTCCATTGGGAGGTTTTTGATTCAATCTCCTTACTAGTTATAAATCTGTCCAGAATTTTTATTTCTTCATGACTCAGACTTGATAGGCTCTATATTTCTAGGAATCTATTTTTCTCTAAACTCTTGACCACCATCTCTTTCCGTTTGGATCTGGATTACTCCCAGGAACATGACTTTGATTGTATGTGGTCAAGACTATCCTTAGTATATCTCAGCTGATGGCTTAGTAAGTATGGGCATTATAGGTTCATCGAAGAGGGCATCCAGTCTTGTGAGTTGTGTTCCAGGAGTTGTGTTCCACTTCATTCACAGGGATACCATAAGTCTTAATACAAGATGCTTAGTGTTTATCCAAGGGTATCATGGAACAGCTACCTCTATGGAGGAAGAAGTACTGCTTTTTCCATTTCTACCCTCTTGGACTTCTATGAAGATAAAGGAGAAAGGTTTAGGCTTGAATATCTAAGATGAATGAATGTCTTAAGTACCTAAAATTAATATTTTAAATGAATATTTTAAATGAATGTTAAATTATAGTAAAATTTTGAAGACTTTTTCCTGTATTACATGAGAATATTTTTAAAATTCTAAATTTTAAATAGAAAACAGCTCCTCAGTCCATATATGATCAACATTAGTTGAGTAGTCATCATACTTATGTAGATTTTTAAAAACTAGTTTGAATACTAAACTAATTGCCTAATCTTGAAAATGTATAAGTTTGGTTGGGAGGTGGCAGAGTTAGAGTAGCTACAGAATGGTGATGGCAGATGGAGCAAGAAAGCATGGGAAGTTGATTGCAAATTTATAACCATTAATATGAAAATAAGCCAGGATTACTTTTATACTAAGGCAAACATATATAAGCAATAGCACCTGAGTTCCATGCAGGTCCCACAATATTGAAATACAGCAGGATGATATTCTTTTATTGATGCTATCTGACTGAATGTTTTTTTCTTTTCTTTGAAAATGTAAGATAATTTAAGAATAGAACAAAAGAGTTTGAGGTAACTAATAATTCATAATTCTGTGTTTTCCATAATAAAACTGGAAAACTTTTTTTTATGCTCAACAGGCTTTATATTTGGTCATATTTATCTGATCAGCTAGGGTTTTTTTAACCTTCATTTTTATTTCAAGTTTAGAGTTAGCTTGTAAAGAGATGTTCTTATTCCAATAAACTCTCAGATTTGCCGTAAACATTTAAAATTTTCAACTGAATTACTGTTGCAAAACTGTCATATTATTAGGGAATTTAATGCTGTTTTAAGGAATAGCATTAACCTCCAAATTCCAGTGAGGCAGAATATTTAGAGTATACTATTGTATTCTTAGTATCTAAGACTTAGTTTACCTGGATAAATCTATGCTGTATGAATGTTTACTAAATGCAACTCACAAGAAATTTCACATGTTATGTCCATAGTATCAAATCTAGTTAATGAGATAATGATACCACACTGAATTACTCTTCTAAGTATTCTTTGTTTCTTCCTTTCTGCCTAACCCTTTAGCTCTAGAGTGTCTTGAGTCTCACCACTTTGGACCTCTGTCCTTTACAGCCTGTAGGCACTCCCTTAGTGATCTAGTCTTATCTGATTTCATGGCTTTACCTATCATTTTTGTGCAAATCAGTCCTAAATTATACAGCCCAGACATCTCTCCTAAACTCCCTCCTACTTTATCAGCCTGCCTATTTGATACCTAGAGTTAAATTTCAAATAGGCACTTCACACTTAACATTTGCAAAACTGAACTTCTGCTCTTTCTTTCAAATCTTCTCCTCCAGAAGCCTTTCCTAGGTCAGTGATGGCACCTCCAGTCTTAAGGCTGCTCAGGCAAAAAAAACAAAAACAAAACAAAAAAACCAACGGAATAAAGTCACCCTTTATTCTTTTCTTCCTCTTATACCCCATATTTAACCTATTAGGACATCTTGGTGTTTCTGCCTTCTTCAAGACTGTACATGAATTTGACTGAATGATTGTTCTTACAAATTAAAAAACTAAGGCTCAAAGAAGTTAAGAGAACATCCCAAGTTCACATAGCTAGTTAGTGATAAAGTCATAATTCAAATCCTTATTTTCTGACTGACCACAAATAATATGCTCTATTCATAATACTAGTGCTTCTGAAAAGTAAATGTTACAATTGTTTTTAATTTATATAGTTCAGAAATATCATCTGACCTATTGTATAACTGGATTTTTATAAATAGTATGTGTTATTTTGGTTAGGTTCTATAGGAATTTTCTAAGCCCACAGCAGTTATTTCATAAATACTTGCCAACTCAGTTGAATTGATTGGTACTTGCCAACTCAGTTGAATTGATTGGGACTTCTCTCTTCTTGTATATTGCTCTGGGTCAGGAACTGTGTTTTCAATTGTAAGGTATAATTAGTTACAAATTGTGTATTGGGTAAAAAAAAAAGGCTGGGAGTAGGGGTAGAATTAATGAAATAAAATATTCAAGGAGGTCTCTTAGAAAGCTCTTTGTTAAAATTTTTTGTTTTATCTCTATGAATTTAGAACATGTACTAGCTCTTGCTACCTTATATATAAATACTTTTCTATTTCTTGGAATTTTCATAGTATGTAATATTGATCTTGATACCAATCATTAAGCTTAGATTGTGGAATTATTATTTAAATTATTTAGAGTTTTCTCTTCAGGGCTTCTGTATTAGGGAGACATTTTATGACTAAAATCTATTAGATTGTAAGACTTTCTAATTGATCATAATGGCAAAAAGTCAAAGGTTTGGCATCTTGGTAGAGAGCAGAAATTAAATTTCAGTGTTGACTGTATTCTTGAGACACTCCTGTTTTATTGATGTACTGTTTGTATTTTAATAAAAGTTATTCTGTACTTATGTAATTAAATGTAGCAGAAATGAAGTATGTTAAGCCAAATTTTATGAGATTTAAGTGATATCTTTTCGAAAGAAACCAAGATTAAGCTTTTGGGAGATGTCTATTATATTTATTGATGTGACATATTTAGAAAGCTGGTCATTTTTTAAAAATGTATGTAAATGTAGGACACTTATCTATGAAAGAGATTTTAGGTAAAGAGCCCTTGGGATCATTATTTTATCTTTATTTTTCTCTTCCAAATTTGCACTTTAAGGTTTACTTGTTTTGTTATTTCACCAATTTGTTATTTTATTTATTTTATTTTATTCCAAGGATGAAAATTTGGTGAATATTTAATTCATAGAAGCAATTTTCACATCCTGAATTCTATCCATCTACCTACCTACGTATCTGCCTCCCTTTGCGATGATAGAAATATTTTTCATGGAGTCCTTCTTAAGGCATTCTTATAGGCTTTGGAAATATCTCTTAAAGCAATAAGATTATATTTGAGGCATCAAACCCAGAAGCCATGCCTAGAAGTTTACTCCCTGTGGCAAATGAATGAGTTAAAGTTGTGTGGTGCCTACAGCCATAATGGCATGTATTTAGAAAGGAAACAGTTTGCAGCATCTAAAAAATGTCTGTTGACAAACAAACCTAAAATAAGAGTTCAAAAAAGAGATACTTTATTTCTGGAAAATGTGATAGTTCTGTTACCATTTGTAATGATGGATATCTGTGAGTCTTTATACTGTGAAATAAACTGTGATCAACTCTACTGCTGTCTTTTCTTTTTCATAGTGTATGCCAATTAAAGGTCTAGGATTCGTGCTTGGAGCCTATCAGTGCATTTGCAAAGCAGGATTCTATCATCCTCAAGACTTCTCAGTGAACAACTTTCAGAGTAAGTGTGCTTTGCTTCTCTGCATATATATGAGTCCACATAATATACACCATTATTAATTATTCATATTTTCTTTTAACCTTGTTGGAGTTATTTGCTTCAGTCCCCACTGGTCTGACATTCTTTCATCCCTTAAGGAGTTTTTGCTTTGGTTTGTCATCTACTATGCCCTGGAGTACCACAGAATAATGTGTTTATTTTAATTATGTTTTAGTTTTCAATACATTTCCTGAAAATAATGTTAGCTATGCAGTAAGATCAGTTGGGATTCAGTTATTGAGAGCTGTTGCTACAGAAAGTTCCTAAACCTAATTTTGCTAGTTTGTTTACTTTGTTTATTAATTTGTTTATATGTTAGTTTTCTATACAGCATAAAGAGCTACCACAAAGTTGACAGTTTAAAGAACGCAAATTTATTATCACACAGTTTTCATTGGTTACCTTTCCAGTCACAGGTTAGCTTGGTTCCCTGTCTCACCAGGCTAAAATTAAGGTGTCATCTGGGATGCAATCTGATCCGAGGTCCAGGGTCTTCTTCCAAGCTCATTCAGGTCAGTATCTTGCAGGCCCCTCCCCCCTTTTTTTTTGCTAGATGTTAGTCTACTCTCAGCTCCTAAGAGTTCCTTAAAGCCTGTCCTTGTGAACCTCTTACAGCATTGCAGCTCACCCTCTTCAAGGCTAGCAAAACAATTTTCTCACTCTGCTCAGACTGAATCATATATAACATAAAATAATCATGAGAGTGAGCATCCCATCATTTTGCCAGATAATGTAACCTAGTTGAAGGAGAGACTATCTCCTCATATTTACAGGTCCACTCACATTCCAGGGGAGGTGATTATACAGGGTATATACTCCACAATCAAAACTTGGTCATCTGCTATTTTATTCCTACTCCAGAAAATGTCAGTGTTACAATTTGAATATTGATTTTTTACTTTATCTCTAGAGAATGCAGTGTTACCACACTGGCTTGTAGCCAGCTATTGGATATAAAGAAGGAGTGTAGTGGTAAAAGGGGTGGTTTTTTAGGAAGTTAGGGCTTGGGGTTACTGAAACCGGGGTACAGGTATCTTTTAGATAGCCATTGACAAATCTTTGCATGCCTTATTATTGGTCTGTAGAGGAATTTGCATTTCTACTCAGCATAGTTCAAAGGGTACATTGAGATTGAGACCTGAGTTTCTTCCTCTGGGAATTTCGGTAGACATTTGTAGATTTTTTTTGTTTTGTTTCCTCCTGGAAAACATTATTCTTGGTATTGAATCTGTTTACATTTAACATATAGGCTCTGGAGATGAGTAACATTTTGCTCTCTCCTCTGTCATATATTCAGAATTCAGCCTTTGTTCTGATTCATAGTTACAGGTGTAATTCTAAGATGGCCTCCAAGCTTCTGTTCCCACAGGCCCTGTCCAATACCTTCTTTTAAGTGTGGGTGGGATCTGTGAATACAGTGAGGTAGTGACTAATTCCCTGCTTAGGCTGTATTATATAGCAAAGGTGATAGTATAGTCACCTATGTGATTACATTGCATTAAATAAGATTCCCTCCCAGCGTAGCCAACTGAAGAGAGATTCTAGGGCTGGCCTTGAAGAAGTAAACTACCTTGTTGTGAGAGGGCCACATGGCTAAAACCTGAGTGCGGCCTCTGAGAGCTGAGAGCAAATCTCATGGACAGCAACCAAGAAAACATGGACCTCAGTTCTATAACTTCAAGCAACTAAATTCTTCTAGATGCCTGAATACACACGGAAGAGGATCTTAAGCTCCAGATGAGAATACAGCCAGGCCAAAACCTTGATTTCAGTCTAGTGAGACCCTGAGCAGAGAGCCCAGTTACACTATGTCCACACTTCTGATCAACAGAAACTGGGAGATAATGAATAGGTATTTTAAGCCCCCAAATTTCCAGTAATTTGTCATGTAGCAATAGGAAACTAATACAATAGCAGTGATGATAACATTTTCAGGGTAGATATGGTTTTCCTTGTATCTGTGTGTACCAAACCATGGCAATATCAGGGCTACTTTGGTATTCTTCACATTTACGGTCCAGACATAACAGATGATTCAACATCAAAGAATTAAGGGAATAGGTTTTAGCTTATGTTCTGTGAAGGTATTTTGTATCTGGTTTACCCACATTTGTTCTCAGCTCCCACTATGTGACTGAAATAAAACATCTAAATATTTTAGAACCAGAGAATGACTATGCCATTTGCTTATAACACCACCAGGAGAAACTAGTTAACCTTTAACAACTTATCTTTATTTAATTTGCACACTCCTACTTTCTTCCTTATTTTAAAAGCCAGTGTTTTTCACTGGACCTACTTTCTCTAAGAAAAGGCAGCTTCTCTGTGTAAATCTAACTCCTGTGTTGTACACGTTGCAGCCATGGAAAAGAGGCCGCAGTTTTTAAAAGATGGTCTATATTTAGACATTAGCTGTGATTCAGCTTTGACCTTAGCACATACTTAACCAGACCAACCTTCCTCAATGACAGAGCAGAAAGCTAGCTACATGTTATAATTTGAAGTCAGTAAAATGCACTTTGACCAAAACTGTCTTTCCTGATGGCCTTGTCAGGTTGCAGGAAAATCCATTATTATTCACTCCTTGTGCTAAAGAAAGAATACAGCAATCTGACCAAGAATGCAAGTTATAACTTACCAGGGTCATCACCTAAGGACTGTCCAAACATTTTTTTATTCCTTATTGTTATTAAAAACATTTACTACTTATTTCTGCATTTTAATACATTCAGTCTTTTAATCATAGTATCCAGGCAGTTCGTATTGACAGTTGTTTTCTTATATTCTTAAGGAGCTACCCATGACTTAAGGAATGACTATGGGTAGCTGTGGAACCGAGGGTAAAGAAGGCATTGAAGATCCCCAAAATGAGATAACATATGTGAACCTGCAAGCATAGTACATGGCATGTGATAAGTGTTTGTAGGTGTAGTTAAGTGATAAACAAACATCAGTAATGTATGTAAAGAGATAATCCTTAAACGTCATTGGTCATTAGCACTTGGTCTCACATTTTATCATATTACAGTAACTAATTTTTTAAAACTAGAACTTTTGGAGAATGAATTTGAGATGGGGGACAGCAGAAGTATAACAACCAGTGCTGCATTGGGAAGGGCAGTAGGAAGACTACTTGGGAGCTAGAGGCAACAGGAAGAAATTAGTTGCCTGATCAGGAGCATAGGATACAGAAAACAGAAAAGAACGTACCTCGAAGATTAAATCCACTTACTTTACAGTTCTACATCGAAAACAAGATCGGAAATCCCCACATCTGTTATTGTCATGTTACTGCATTTGGAGAGAAGAGCTGAGATATAGTGCTGACGTCTTAGAGAAAATGTAAATGTGACTTAAAAATCCTGTTAAACTATGAAGTGATTTAAAATCTTTATTCAGACTAAGACCCACGGTAAACAACGGGCTTGTAAAGACCAACAAGGATATGTTTAAATGACGTGATTTAAAATTGTGCTGACAGCCCAGAGACTGTGTTCCTGGCATGTCTCTTGAAATTGGTGGTCATTTGTGAACTAATAAGATCTGACATTGGATGGTAGCAGGATTTCAGAATAACCAAGTACTGATGTATAACTGTCTCCTCAAACCCAGGCTGTTCACTTCCAGGTTGCTGAAAAAGGGGAAGCTTATGACATGCTCATCTCTCTCAAATCCTTCTATCTTAATACGAGTTCTGTCTTCAGTGAAACCTCTTTTCTCTTTTCTGTAGACACATTCCTAGCCTTTCAGTCTTACTTCTCTTGTCTTTTGGACTGACTTTGGCTTCTGTGCCTTTCCAGAAAAACCTAACTACAAATGACCCAAACAGGGACTAAAGCCACCCCTGTTTTGGCAACTCTTGTGTTAACAATGGGGTGGGGGGTAAGACAAGAATGTAGAGATTTTAAAAAAGGTATTACCTTGGGAGAAAAGAAAAAGAAGCTCTTTGAAAGCAGGTACAATATAGCGATGCTGCACTCTCAGCAAACTGCTAAGCAAGGCTAACCTTTCTGGAATAAGTTTATTCCTCCTCTTTTTCATGGCCGGCGAGCTGGAGATACTTGGCTTTCTGTAGACTAGGTCCTGTATCAGTCTCTAATACCAACCCCAAATTTAGAACAGATTAAGAGAGCTTGAACATCACGGTCTCATTACCAGCATTATCACTTTTGCTGTTGATCTGACTTCAGCCTTGTGGTCCCATTCACTTTGCTGTATCACCATTAGTCCTGATCAATTTTCTTCCAGTTATAGTAGCACAATTATCCATCTAGTTGTGCTTTTGTTTTTGCCTCATTCATTTGCCTAGTTTTCAGTTTTTATGTCTTCCTTCATTAGTCCAGCTCATAGTGAATGGAGTCCAGTCACTCGATGTGTCTGGAAGATCTGGAAGATGGGGTGAGTTGCCAGTGGAAGGGTTCCCAGGGCTGTCCACGTTCTTGGACTCTTGACTATTGCATTTAATCTGTTAATCTTTGACTATATTCTTTCCAACTGTTGGGACATACTCCATACCATGTTGGACTTCCCTGGTTGTTAAATTTCTACCAGAGCTGAATTTCTATCATAGTTTAGCACAGTAATTAAGAGCATGGTCTTTGGAATAAGTCTAACTTGGGGTTGAATCCTAGCTCTACTACTTACTTGCACTGTGCTATATTCTTTAATTTCCCTAACTTTCATTTATGACATATGTAAAATTGGGATAATATTACATGTTTTATAAAATTGTTATAATGATTAAATAATAAATTCAAAGTTCTAATAATGGCAGTTGGCACATATTAAATGCTCAAAAATATTGTTTTTATGATTATTATTTGGAAGTTTGTATCTATTCCAGTCCCCTCTTTCCCCAATATCTCCCCATTTTTGTTCCTTTCATCTAGTATCTGCCCCACTTCCCAGCAGAAGATCATATTCCCATGTCCCAGATTTTTTCTTTAAAACTTTAAAATGGGCCCCACTCTCATATATAATATTCAGTCATCCAAAAATCTTCCTTCTTCCTACTACCCAAAAATTTACCTCATTAGATTAAAAAATATTTCTATTACTACTTTTATTTAGTTACAGTATTTTGCTTTATTGGACTGCTAATTTGAGATTCACTTTTGTAGACAATCATCTTCCCCAAAATATTAAAAAAAAAAACCCTCTGGCAGGGAAATTTGACTGTCAGTCATTCACAAATAATTTCATTGTAATAGGCAGAATGATGTCAGTTCCCAGCCCCCAAAGATGTGCATGTTCCCATTTTTATGCTCTGTGACTGTCTTACCTCACATGGCAAAAAGGGACTTTGCTGATGTGATTAAGTTACAGACCTTGAGATGAGAAGATTATCCTCGATTATTGGGACCATTCTAATCACATCAGTCCCAAATAGCAGAAAACTTTCCTGGCTGTAGTCAAGAGACAGAAGTGAGGGTACAAGGGTCAGACAAATACTACATGGTGGAGTTTGAAGATGGAGGAATAAACTCAGCCAAGGAATATAGGTGGTCTCAGGAAACTGGAAAAGGCAAGGAAATGGAATCTTCTCTAGATCCTCCAGGAAAAAAAAAAAAATATATATATATAGCCCTGCTGACACCTTGATTTTAGCCAAGTGAGACCCATGTCAGACTTCTGACCTATAGAAGTGTAAGAATGAATATAACTATATTATATTTCATTTAAGAAGCAATATAAATTTGTGTTGTTTTAAGACACTGAGTTTGTGGGAATTTCTTATAGCAGCAATAGAAAACTAGTACACTCAGTTAGCTTGCTTCCCACCCAGCATTCATTCCAGTGTTCACAGTAGGCCGTAGTGCTTTCTCTAGAGGAAATTGTTCACAATTCCAAATAATTGACTCAGAACAATTTATAATCTGGTGGGTCTTTGAGTCATTCATACTTGGGTTTAAGTCCACTTACTAGCAGGAGACTTGGGCAAGTTTCTCATACATTCTGAGATTCTCTTTCCATATTCATAAAGCAGGAATAGTGGAATCTATTCCTTGCCTGTTGTGAGGAAGGAGTAAATGAGATGACATATCGTATCCCTAAAATGGTGGTGATGGTTATATTAATGTGAATATGGAGAATTTAGTCCTTTTGTTTATTGTATTTATGTATTGGATGTCGTGGGGATTGAATGAATAAAGTGTCTATGGGCAAAAAATCCATTTGTGTTTTATAATTTTATAAGTCATATCAGAATCTTTCTAAGATCTAAATGGTATTTTTGTCCAAAGAAAAATACTACTAAAAATATAGGAGACAGTAGAAAAATGAATATAAAATGTATAGGTAAGCATATGTCAAGGTAGGGAAAAACTTGAACTCTGACTATATTCATGGTGAGGAAATACAAGTTTTAAAATGCTTGCACTGGGCTTTATATTGAACTTATTTTCACAACTAGCCATTCGTGTGCAACTATATGATGGTATATTAGCTAATCCTGATTTTAAGATATACAAATATACATTCATGTCCCAACACTAGGAATCTTTTTGGATAGCAGTCTGTATATAAGCATATTCAGCTAACTCTTCTCTCCATGTGGATATTATAGATATTGAACCAAATATACATAGAAATCTCCTGATTGTGTTGGTTACTCATGTACATGTACCTTTTTCCACTTAATTTTTGGATGTGATTTTAACAACCTGAAGACTGGAGGCAGATTATTTCATCATCCTAAACCATGAAATAACAAATAACAAATATATCTTCCCATGATTAGCTAATTGCAGCATCTTAACTACAAACCTTGATGGATGAATATGTTCCCTCTAGTTCTTCCCCCGCCCCCGATTCTAATGAAAAAGCAGATATGTGTATGGAAAGAAAGGAGATGTTTAACCTAATGATGATTTCAGTTGAGCATTATTTGTACCTAGAGCTAATGTTGAACTCTCATTGTCTGAATTGATTCTGTTACTTTGAGCTGAATTATGTTCATTGTTTGTGATCCATCTTTTTCTTACATGCCTGTAGAATGGAAGGAAGAGGGGGTTTTGGCAAATGGGCACATGGGCTAGTCTTGCAAAGGTCTGGCCTCTATCTTCCTCTGCCAGAACGAGTTCCTATCACTGAGGGCTACAGTACCTCCAAGGGACCTCTGATTGGTTTGTTGATTGATTTATGTCCGAAAAATTCATCTGCCAAAAAATATTACTGAGCACCAACTGTCCCAGACATTCTTTTAAGCAGTGCAGGAAAAAAGTGTCTAAGCTTCCAGGACAGACCCACATCTTCCCAGAACATATTGCAATACCCACAAACAACAAATGAAGGCAGTCTTGAGTAAAATACAACTCAGTGTTCAATATTAGTAAATCAGATCAAATGCAAGAGCTTTAAGATTTAACTGGCCTTAAAAGGTAGTCATGTTTTCTCTCCATACTCCAAATATACAAATATTACCTTTTTGCTCTTGTGAAACAGTTTTTCACAGAATCTTACCCAGCAAAGCACTTAATATTTCCATCTGATGTTTGTACTACGAAGACCTGAAATATATAACTTCTACTTCAATTTACCCGACCCACTTCAACTCATTCTTTTCTAAATCAAAAACTCTGTACTTTTCTTCCATAAAACGTGAGAAGAAAACTTTCTGTGGTACCTTTTTTTTTTTTTTAAAGATTTTATTTATTTATTCATGAGAGACAGATGAGGAGGGAGAGAGAGAGAGAAGCAGAGGGAGAAGCAGGCTCCCAAGGAGCAGGGAGCCTGATGCGGGACTCGATCCCAGGACCCTGGGATCATGACCTGAGCCGAAGGCAGATGCTTAACCATCTGAGCCACCCAGGCGCCCATCTGTAGTCATAAAAATGTGGGTACATTTTGATCTATCAGTTTGATACTTCTATTCCAAGGGAATATCAATCTAAGGGATTAAGAAAGTTGTATATTTTTTATTAAAAAAAAACAGGAGAGAAGAAAAGTACCCCTTTAATTTGTTCATTAGTTGAATCTTCAGAAAACCAAACCAAAAAACTGATATTTTAAGAAAATTTTTGAAAAGTTTTAGTGTTTCATTAGCAATGACCTAATTTACCACTTGGGTTTTTATGGTAGATGACAAAATTTCTCAATGGATACCCAATGTAATTTTTGTTTTGGTAGAAGGCATTCAAATAGAACTTTGCCACGTAAGTTTTCTAATGTTACCTACTAAT